CCTTGTACTCATATATAAATGCTTGTATCTCTTTGCTTTAATCAACTTACTTTGCTCTCACACACTAGCGCAAGGTGGTTCACAACTACTTCATTAAACGCTTCCGCTATTACAATAGTCCTACCCCGAATTTACCCCTGCAAAAGATCCTAAGGGCTTTTCTCAGCCCAACATGGTATGAGAGCTATCAGGGGAAATTCAACTACTGTCAAATCATCAACAGACGACATGGCAACATACAAGGAAAGGAGTTCCTCCAATGGTTCTCCCGGGACTACTCCTACCCCACCTCCTGCCTCTGGCCTGCAGACAGAGAAAGAAACTGCAACGTGACCAGCAGCGCCTCTAGCCAGCCAGCCTGCCAGCTTCGACCAGAGTATGATGGAGAAATTTTTCTCCTTCATGTCGTTTTACGAGCAACACCAGCAGTCGGCACCTGCGCAGTCAAACAATAGCAACAACAACAACGTGACTCCAATGAGTCTTGATGGTTCATCATATGCGCGCGGGAATCAGCAACAACCTACCTTTGCTCCGTACGAACGCGGGTCCATCAGCTTCATGCCGCACCCGCAAGCTCCATCTCGACAAAAAAAACAACTGGATGCACTACAAGTTCAGTCGCAATTCGCGCACGTCTTGAAGCTGCAGACGTCAAAGCCATTCGACGGAAAAGACTTCTTTACCTGGTCGTTCGAATTCGAGTTGATGATGGAAGGCGCGCAGATACTTGGCTTCTTCGACGGGTCTGTGCCATACCCAACAAACGGCACACAGTATGAGAAGCAGCAGTATACATATCAGTCGATGATGGCGTATACGATCCTACTGAGAAACATCACCCCAACTCAGCAGCAGAACATACGGTCTTACCGGGGATTCGGCAACTCCGCGGAACTCGCGTACAAGCACCTGAAGGACCTGTATCAAGCAACAGACAGCGTCAGTCAAAGTCGGCTAATGGCGCAACTGACAACGGTTGAAATGAAACCAGGCGAAAAGGGAATGGCATATGTCAGCCGATGTCGCGAACTGCGCGACAAGCTTCTTCGATGCGGAGGGTCAATCTCTGAAGACGCCTTCGTGACAGTCATCATCGGCGGCCTCGGTCCTCAATGGCGCGCAACAAAAGCCATTCTCCGAGCCCACGGAAGAATCTCCGAAGCAGCGCTCTGCGCCGAAATACATGCTGAGCAGCAAGACATGGACCTGCAAGAAGAACGACACAAAAGAAAGACATCAGTACCGGAGTTCGCGTTCCACACTCAGCGACGCTACAACAACAACAACAACCGACAACAACAGAAGCACGTACCTCCGTTCTGCCATATCTGCAAGACGTCAGGGCACCCGCGCACACACTGCCCGAATCGACAACAGCCAACGCCACAACAGCGACAGCTTCGACCCTCAAGCAGCCAAGTTGCTTCAACGCAAGCGAATCCTACAACCCAGATTCAAGCTTCAACAACACCAACGGGACAACCTGCACAAGGAGCAAGAAACATCGTCAGTTGTATGGCAAAACTGACCGACTCCTGCATCACCGAATCACCACCTCATTACTCACCAGAAGAACAGCTTGACAACAGCACGCCCCGCCGCGAGTCACTGCAGCCGAACCCGACATACGCCGCTATCGCCCAGAGTGAGCCATCCGGGAAGGACACATGGTTCTTGGACAGTTGCTGCGGACAACACATGTGCTCTTCAGGACGCTTCGTACAACGAGAGTATCAACTTCAACGAGAAGTAGTCATCACCGTCGCCAACAACCAGAACCTGCGCACACGACGACAAGGCGTGGTACAACTTCAGTCACGAGAAACAAGTGTCATTCTACAAATGACCAAGGTCTTAATCGCAGAAGGTCTCGGCTATAACTTACTGAGCGTCAGTCAGTTGATGGCGAAAGGCATTCACCTCGAAGCAGACAGTACCACCCAAGAATTCAAGCTGTATCACGGGAGAGGAGGACTCTACATCGGCAAGGCGGTCCTCAAGAACAACGTCTTCGTCCTCGACTTCGTTCCAGATCTCGGCACCGCCGACAGCGACGCCATCGTCAACTTCACCAACTGGACACACCCTCCAGATATTGATCCAGACTTCAGTCCTGGCGGCTTCTGGTATTCCCACACAATTCTTGAGACCGAAAGAACAAGAGCATTAGCGACAATTCAACACTCGGCAGCAGCAGGAACAACACCGACAGCAGCAGAGACAACATCGGCAGCAGCAGCAAAAACTTCAACACCGACAGCAGCAGAGACAACATCGGCAGCAGCAGAAACAACATCGACAGCAGCAGAGACAACAACGGCAATAGTAGGAACTTCAACACCTGGTCCTTCAACAGCACTGCTCCTCGTCGACAACACACCACCAACACCCGCGCAGCAGCTTCAGTCAGTACAACGAGAAGTTCACCGTAGCGCAAACTTCACCACCAGCTTCTATTCCAACTCTGACATGTACCGACGATCACCCGGACATCGCGCCGACGAAAGCACCTGGCACGCAAGGATGGGACACCCAAGCAACACTGCGTTAAACAACACGATAAGAGCAGGAGTCCTTGACAAGGACTCGCTACTACTACTCGACGGCAGAGAACTCCAACGGGCACGAGGAACATGCCTTACCTGCCCCGAAGCCGACTTACCACATCGGCCGTTCGCTCCTCACCACAACCCGAGCGCACCCGCGTACACACCACTCGAAAAGGTGTATAGCGACATCCTGTACAATCGGGAACCAGGACAAGTAATATACAACTATACAATCACCTTCATCGACGCCGCCACCCGTTACGTCTGGCACCTAAACCTACCCAGCCGTGACATGGTCCTCGAAGCATTCACTGCTTGGCTACCAGTAGCAGAGAGAGAGTCGAGCGTAAAGCTAGCTGAAAAGCTTCCAGTCAGACGGAGGAGGAGAATACACCTCACAGCGATTCAAGCAGTACCTGGCGGAAAGGGGGATCAAGCAGCTCCTCTCTCTTCCCTACGCCCATGAGCAGCAAGGTGTAGCAGAAAGAATGAACAGGACTCTGCAGAACACCATGCGCAAACTGTTACGTGGCATGCGGCTACCCAACCACCAGTGGCCTGCAGCAATGGACCACGCAGTCATGCTGCACAACTTGTTGTCGTCATCATCGCTTCCGAACAACGCATCACCGCATCTGCTGTGGACAGGGAAACTGGGCAGCACAAAAATGTTACGAGTGTTCGGATGCATGGTACAGTATCGACCCCCAGCAGCACGAGCGGGCAGATTTTCACAACGCGCACAGTGGGGTCTACACCTCGGCATCGAAAGGAATTACAACGCGTGGAAAATCTTCGACATCCACACCAAGGAAACAGTAGCAGCACGTGACGTCATTTTCTACGAACGACTCACGCTCCAGACGTACCTTTCCAACCTGCAAGAGGACCAAGATTCCACAGGCGGTTTCCGCGGTGACCGGGCCTTCGCCTCCGCAGAAGACGAAGCTGTCTGGGACGAGCAGAATGTGGACAACGCGTCAGAAGAAGCCGGACCTCTCCCGTTCTGCTCCGTCGACGTTTCCATGGACGAAGACAACCCTCGCGAAAGTGTCAACGCCGAAACCTTCTACTACCACTTCGCCGACAACGGTTACGTAACACCTGCGACAGTCAACACCAACGAAGCAGAACGCGTAGGACCCAATTTCATACCTGATCCAGAAGCGGGAGATGAAGCAGCTTATCCCGAGGATACAACTCTTCCCCGCTACTCACAGACTGGACTGCAGATACTCGGCCTCGTCACCGCAGTCCACGGCAACACTCTTCCTAAGGAGCCTGCGACGGTTCAGCAGGCTCTGGGGGGGGAGCACAGGGAAAAATGGCGTGAAGCCATGGACAGAGAATTAAAAGCGCTGGAGGAACGGAACACCTGGAAAGTCGTTCCCATCAGCGTGGCAAGAAACAAGACCATTCTCACCGGGAAATGGGTCTTCCGCGTAAAGACGAAAGCTGACGGCACCATCGACAAGTTCAAAGCACGATGGGTCGTGCGCGGCTTCGACCAAGAACAAGGACGGGACTTCACCGAGACATTCGCCCCGGTTAGCCGACACACCTCACTCCGAATTCTTCTCGCGATCGCCGCCATGAAGAAGAAGAAGCTACGACAGATCGATGTCGCCAACGCGTTTCTCTACGCACCTGTCGACGCGGAGATCTTCGTCGAACTCCCACATGGCACTAACGGAGAGCCGAACAAAGTCTGTCAACTACTGAAATCGCTCTACGGGATTAAGCAAGCCCCGCGGCTATGGCAGCAGTACCTACACGCCCGTCTCATCCGCATTGGCTTCAAACAACTACCCCACGATCAGGGGATGTACCGGCTCACGAAGAACGACGACTACGTCCTGCTAATCGTCTATGTGGACGATCTACTCTACATCGGGTCAACTGACGAAATCACCACCTGGGTTGAAGGGGAGCTGCAACGAGACCTCACACTCACTGTCTCGTCTACCGTCACTCAGTATCTCGGCCTCAACATCCGAGAAGAAGAAACCGCAACCTACCTCAGCGCCGCAAAATACGCCGACACTATCGCCAAGCGTTTCGCCTTCACACCGACCGCGATCTCCACGCCATACCGTTACACGACAGGAACCGACAAGGGAGGATCTACTCTACTAAAGCCCGCCGGCATACGCGACTACCAGAGAAAGCTGGGCTGTCTTCTCTTCGCAGCTGTCACCTGCCGCCCCGACCTCTCATACTCCGCAAGCCAGCTCGCTACCTACCTCAAAAGGCCTGAAGCAGAACACCTGGCGGAGCTCGACCGCGCTCTTCACTACTTCGTCAGCACTCCAACGATCGGCCTAACGTATCACAAGAACGCAACTACACCGACTAAGCTAATCGGTTATGTCGATGCCGATCACGCCGGCGATTCCGACAATAGGCGCTCACGCACCGGCTACATCTACCGCCTCGAGCCTATCGGTCCTATCTCCTGGCAGTCGAGTAAGCAGGAACTAATCGCCCTCTCATCGGCTGAAGCAGAGGGGAGAAGGGAGTGCGGAAGCACGAGTGGAGAAGGGAGTGAGGAAGCACAGAGGGGAGAAGGGAGTGAGGAAGCACAGAGGGGAGAAGGGAGTGAGGACGCACAGAGGGGAGAAGGGAGTGAGGAAGCACAGAAGAGAGAAGGGAGTGAGGAAGCACAGAGGGGAGAAGGGTGTGAGGAAGCAGAGAGGGGAGAAGGAAGTGAGGAAGCACAGAGCGGAGAAGGGAGTGAGGAAGCACAGAGCGGAGAAGGGAGTGAGGAAGCACAGAGGGGAGAAGGGAGTGAGGAAGCACAGAGGGGAGAAGGGAGTGGGGAAGCACAGAGGGGAGAAGGGAGTGAGGAAGCACAGAGGGGAGAAGGGAGTAAGGAAGCACAGAGGGGAGAAGGGTGTGAGGAAGCACAGAGGGGAGAAGGGAGTGAGGAAGCACAGAGGGGAGAAGGGAGTGAGGAAGCATAGAGGGGAGAAGGGAGTGAGGAAGCACAGAGGGGAGAAGGGTGTGAGGAAGCACAGAGGGGAGAAGGGAGTGAGGAAGCACAGAGGGGAGAAGGGAGTGAGGAAGCACAGAGGGGAGAAGGGAGTGAGGAAGCACAGAGGGGAGAAGGGAGTGAGGAAGCACAGAGGGGAGAAGGGAGTGAGGAAGCACAGAGGGGAGAAGGGAGTGAGGAAGCACAGAGGGAAGAAGGGAGTGAGGAAGCACAGAGGGGAGAAGGGAGTGAGGAAGCACAGAGCGGAGAAGGGAGTGAGGAAGCACAGAGGGGAGAAGGGAGTGAGGAAGCACAGAGGGGAGAAGGGAGTGAGGACGCATAGAGGGGAGAAGGGAGTGAGGAAGCACAGAGGGGAGAAGGAAGTGAGGAAGCACAGAGGGAAGAAGGGAGTGAGGAAGCACAGAGGGGAGAAGGGAGTGAGGAAGCACAGAGGGGAGAAGGAAGTGAGGAAGCACAGAGCGGAGAAGGGAGTGAGGAAGCACAGAGGGGAGAAGGGTGTGAGGAAGCACAGAGGGGAGAAGGGTGTGAGGAAGCACAGAGGGGAGAAGGGAGTGAGGAAGCTGTCGGAGATACAGTTATTCCATCCTCTGCCTTAGTCCTCATGTTCATCTTCCCTTCCTCCTTCAGCTGCCTCAGCTACCCTCATGAAAGAAACGAGACTCTCACCTCAAATGTCCTCCTTAAGTGGTGTGCCACCCGTGTGCAATGCTTGAGGCAACAACAATCCACTATACGAAAGGATAACAAACAGAAAGCATTGTGTGTGTGTGTGAGAGTGAACTTACCTGACCCTGGCTCGAACCGTGCATTTCTCAATGTGCGGCTCGAGCCTGGGTTGGTTCGTTCCCATTGGTTGCATGGATTTCACCCCTTGGTGCTCTCCTACCAACTTCGCGTCAATTTCCCAGCCCCCACCTACCCATCCTCGAATCTGCAAACACAACATAGCTACACCATCACTACACCCCCTTATTACTGGCACCTTATATGCACAACCGTGCATATTCGGTGACAGCTGTTGGAGATACAGTTATTCCATCCTCTGCCTTAGTCCTCATGTTCATCTTCCCTTCCTCCTTCAGCCGGTTGCCTCAGCCACCCTCTGCCCCCTCCTGTGCCCGTGCTTGCGCAGCTTGAGCGCGGGTCACAGGACCACTACGCTGAGGCCCGCTTCCTCTGATCACTGCAGCGTTCGATTGATGCTCCTTTAACTGCGCCCCCGTGTCATTCTCCAGGACCAGCACCCCCGAAGGGCGCACCTCCTTGACCTTCCAGCGGACTGTCCCCAGCCCTACATCCAGGGTGTCCTGCTTTGCTCTCTTGAGATACACCTCCTGCCCTTCGCTACACCCCTTATCGCTCGTCCTTCTCCCTTGCGCTGTCTCTGTTCATATCTCCTGGCATCCCTCAGCTGTGCGGTGTGCAGGTTCTCCAGTGCTGCTGGCATCATGTAGCGCATGTAGCGCGCTCTCACCTCGGACAGGGCTACCCAGTTCTTGATCGTGCCTGCCGTCACTGTGTCTGTCAATACCCGCGGTGCCCCCACTGGCAGTATGGGCTCTCGTCCGTAAAGTAGGCTGTACGGGGAATGATCCTTCAGGGCTGCCTGCTTTCCGAACCTGTACCCTGCTGCTATCCAGTCCAACTCCTCATCCCAGTCTCTCTTCCTCTGCTCCCCATAGGCCCGCAGTCCCCGCTTAAAGGTCTGCACGGCTCGCTCAGTCAGCCCGTCGCTCTGCGGGTGGTAGCGGGAGGTCCTACGGTGCGCGATGCCAGACTCCTCCAGCAGCTTCTTGAACTCTCCCTGGAACTCCGTTCCTTGATCTGTGAGCACCTCCCCGCACGCTCCGAATCGGCATACCACCTGCGCTTTGAAGGCTGATGCAATGTGTCTTGCGCTCTTGCTCGGTATGGCCCTCACTTCCAACCATTTACTCACATGTTCCACCATGAACACTATATACTGATTCCCGCTCCTGCTCAGCGGCAACTCTCCCGCGAGGTCTAGGGACCAGCGAAACCCCAGCCCGCAGATGGGCAGTGAGTGCAGCTCTGCTTTGGCCTGCGTCAGATTTGCTTTGCTCCTCTGACATGCCTCACACCCCTCCACCCACTCTTTCACCTGCCTGCGCATCCCTTCCCACCATCAGCCCGTCTTCAGCAGATGCACGGTCCTCTCGTGCCCGAAATGTCCCAGCTTGATGTGTACTTCCTTGATCACTGCTTCACGCTCCTCGGGCGCTGGCACCAGCTTCCAGCCATCCTCCGTCTTGATCTGCAGCTGCTGCTGATACCACCTGTAGTGGTGCCCTCGTGCCCTCACCCTTTCGGGCACTGTCTCATCTTCCTCAGTCTCTCCCTTCAACCACGCCATTGCCTTTGCATCCTGCCAGATGTCAGCGGGCCCTTTACTCCCTGTTGCACCAGCCCGCTCCACCTCCCTTGCCAGCAGTATCAAGGTCTGTGCTGGCTCCTGCTCTGTCCTTTCCGTCCCCTGTGTTGCCTGTTCGGTTTCTAGCGGCGGTGGGTTGCGGGAAAGGCCATCAACGTGCTGCAGTGTCTTCCCCGGCCTGTGCCTGATCTTGAAATCGTATTCTTGCAGCTTTACTGCCCACCGCGCGTTCCTCCCTGTCAGGCCTGGCGTCGTCATCAGCCATGTGAGTGGCTGGTGATCCGTGACTAGTGTAAACTCTCTGCCCTGTAGGTACACCCGGAAGTGTCCTACCGCCCATACTGCCGCCAGCCCCTCTCCAATGTATGAGCTGTACTGCGCCTCCGCTGGGTTGCAGCTCCGGCTTGCGTAGGCCACCACCTTCTCCACTCCCTCTACTTCTTGGCACAGTATTGCCCCCATCCCCTGGCTGCTCCAGTCGGTGTAGAGGATGAAGGGCTGCTCTGCTGCTGGTAGCCGCAGTACTGTTGCCGTCTTTACAGCTGACATGAGGTCTTGCAGTGCCTCCCTCTGCTTCTCTCCCCACTCCCATGCCTTGTCCTCTCGCAGCATCCCATTCAACACCGTCGCTCTCTTGCTGAAGTTCGGCACAAAGCGTCTATAATAGCTGAGGAAGCCCAAGACTGCACGCAGCCCTGACTTGTCTCTCGGTTCCCTCAGCCTGTCTAGCACCTGCACCTTCGCTTGCTGGATCCCAATCTGCCCCCTGTGACCTCGTACCCCAGGTATTGCACCGTCTGCTCCCCCCATCTGCACTTGTTAGGGTGACACGTGAGCCCTGCCTCTTCTATAGCCGTTAGTGTCCTTTCCACATCCTCCAGGTGCTGCTGCTCGGTCAAGCTGAAGATCACGACATCGTCGATATAGCACAATGCGTGCTCTATCTCCCGCAGCACTGCGTCCATGACTCGCTGGAACACCGCCGAGGCGTTCCTCAGACCAAAGGGCATGTACAGCCACTCGTACAACCCGTCTGGTCCGTGGAAGGCCGTTTTCTTCACATCTTCTTCTCTGATCTTGATTTGATTGAATCCCTGGCGCAGGTCCAGCGTCGTGAAGTACACCCCGTCGGCCAGCTTGTCAAAGAGTTCTTCCGCCATCGGCATTGGGTACCTATCCGGCACTGTGATCTTGTTAAGATCTCTGTAATCCCCGCACATCCTCCGGCTCAGCACCTCGCCTGTCAAATCCTTCCTGGCTGCCACCACGGTCGAGGTAGCGTACTCAGACTCTGACCTCCTAATCAGTCCGGCTTCCAGTAACTCCTTTATTTTCTCCCTGCAGATCGCCTCATCCCCTGGTGGCATCTTCCTCCTGCGGTGGAACACCGGTTCATCACTGCTCAGCTTCAGTGCCATCTCCTTGATCTTGCATTTCCCCAACTCCTGCAGGGTGAAAGCGAAGCCCTTCCTATGCTTAACCAACAGTGCCCGCATTGCTGTCTTTCCTCCCTCGCTCATGCTCTTACCTATCTTCCACTCGTGCTCTTCTTTCGGCAGGCATGCCCACACCCCCTGTCTGACCGTCGCTACTGTGCTTTCTCCCTCCTTTAATCCCCAATGCAACACGGTCTCCTTCCACATCTGCTGCACCAGCCACCGCATCATGTACCCATCCATGGCGTTCCCCATTGCCCGCCTCCTCTCTTTCTCGCTCACGCCCGGGGCTGCTGTGGCATTCTCCTTATACCCCATGGCCAGCTCCCTCTCCAAGGCCGTGGGCTCTTCCCACCGTCCCTTCCTATGATCATGCACCAATCCTGGGCCCGGCTGCTCCCCATCCATCCGATATTCTGCTGCCCCCTCATACGACACCAGGGTGGGTAATGCTTGCCTCTCCTGCCCCACCTGGTTGCACGGATAGTGTCTGCTGTAGCTCTTTTTGTTCACCGGTGCTGGCGTTCTTCCTGGCTCCAGTATATCGCTCACTTTCCGCCCCCCTGCTCTCTGTACCCCTTCTATCTCCTTCTGCAGATCTTCCACTGGCACTACGTTCTGCCAATACATCCTGAGCCGATGGGCGTATGCTCCCATCCGCGCCGCGTCACTGCTCACCCCTTTACCCACCTGCTGGGTCACTCTTTCTTTCACCAGTCTCACTGGTTCTCGCACATCCCCACTCATGTCCAAGTGCTCCAGCAGGTATGCCAATCTGCCCTGCCTAGCCTGCAGCCACTCCATAATCCTGAACAGATCCTCCATTAGCTGCGTCCTTGGGTCTTGCTCACCCTTGCCCTTCCCTGCCCATGATACCCCTTGGCACTCCCACCCAGCCACCAGCAGGTCCACGTGCCCCCAGCTCGCCACTTCAGCTTCCGTGATCGTCCTTATGTCGTTCACTCCTCGGCTCATGGCTGCCCTGACCACTTCTTCCTTCAGCAGTTCTGGAAATTCCTGGTGCAGCTTCCACGCATGATGTTCCGCTATTTTTCTCACTTCTGGTGCCTTCTCCACGTAGATCCATTGCTTCACGGCAATCCCGTTCCGCACCACTGCTGCCAGTCCCGCCCCTATTCCCCCGAACAGTTCCACCAGCCGAATGGGTTGTTGCCAATCTGTCTGTTGGCTCGGTTCATCCATGAAGTGCATCCTAGGCTCTCCACCCCTTCTTGTGCCTGCTGCTTTCTCCCGTGCCCCCTCTTCCGCTGCCCCCTCCTTCTGATCTGCCCTATAAGCCCTCTTTGGCTCTGTCTTGACAAACTGCACAGGCAGCTGCCCTAGCGGCTCGCCCTTCCTCCACCACCTGGTTCGAAACTCCACGGTCTCCTTCCAAAAGCAGATAGTCATGCCCAATGCGAAGATCATCTCTGTGCCCACCAAGACGTCAAAATCCTCTTACTCCGAAATCCCACACCTGATCCTGATCGGCGTTTCATGCTTTTCCCCCTTCAGCAGTGTCAGCTCTATCGGCGTCCTGGTGCAGGGCATCCACTTTGATTCCCCCCCTTCTGCGGTCATCACTAGCATCCACTTCCCTACGTGTCTGTCTGGTGCCCACAGTCCCAGCTTCTCTGCCATCCTCTTTCCGAGTATTACGCTCTGTGCCCTCGTATCTATGATTGCCGTCTTAGCCTTCTCTCCTTCCACTGACAATGCGCCGCCTTGGATCAGCAGCACGGAGGTTTGACACGCCAACCTTTCTTGAGGGTGCCGCGCCGCGGTGCACCTTCCTTCCTTTTCCTCCGGTTTCTGCCCTCTCTCCCACTCCTTCCTCACCTGTTCCTTCCGGGCGTCCTTTCCTCCGCTGCGCAGCCCCATCTCTTCCCTTCCTCTCCAGGCCATATACGCTGGCTGCTCCTCATGCCCCATCTCCTTCTCTTCTCTTCCCGGCCAGACCATGAACGCAGCCTCCTCATCCTGCTCCACATCTTCCTCCTCCTCTTCCTTGGCGTACATCCCCGCCTCTGCTTCCCGTCGTGGTCCCATTGCCTGCAGCTGCGCTTGCAATCTACTGATCTGCTTCTCCAGTTCCTCTGGCGTTTTCTTCGCTGCTCCCTCCCGCTGATAGCACTCCTTTGCTGCATGCCCTCCCTTCCCACAGATTTCACACTTTGGTGCCGTTGGACACTCCCGCCGCCGGTGCCCTGGCTTGCCACAGGAGTCGCAGTTCTTGCAGTCTCTGCGCATGTGCCCTGGCTGCCCGCACCGGTGGCACGTCCGCGTATCAGGCCTGCTGTCCCCTCCTCCCACTGCCCTATCCTTCTCTTCTGGTATCATGGCTGCGGCCCATGTAGGTCCTCTGCCTCGCTCCGCCGGTCGTTGCCGATATGCTTCGTACTTCCTCTGGGCCAGCTCCATCTTCTCTGCTAGCTCGAACACTTCCTCAAGCGTCGTTTCAGCCCCCATCTCATACACCTTCATCCGCAGCCCGCTTCCCCAAGCGCCCTCCAGGCCGTCCAGGAACTTACTCACGAGCAGGGCCGTATCTGCGCAACTCACGTCCTCCGTCAGGTTAACCAGTCGGTTGTAATAGGTGAGTAGTGACTCGCCCCGCCCCTTCTTGAAGTCCTGGAATTCCCTTATCTTCTCCGCGGTGTGGCCTGGGAACTGCCGCTTCAGTCTCCTCAGGAATGCTTCCGTGGGGTCTTCCCCGTACCTCCCCGCCCTCTCCAGCAGCTCATCCATCTTCATTCTATACAAAGTCTCTGCCTCCCCTTCCAGGGTGTTCGGCAGACTCAGGAAGAAGTCCACTGAGTCCATGCCGCTTCGCTCACACCTGTACCGCACGTTGCCCACTTGCATCAGGTAGTTCTTCAGCGTGGGTCCCATGCGCTGATCTCCTGAGAAGCGCGCTGGCACCTCCACTCTCGTGACCATTGCTGAGCTTCCCTTACCCTCTCCCCATGCTTCACTCGGCCCTCCTGCAGACCTTCCTGCCGTTCCTCTCTCTCTCGCCCGCAGCATTCCCTCCCTTGCCTCTCTGGCCCGCTCCAGGCTGTGCATCAGCCCACTGCCTCCCTCTCCGCTGTCGCTGGTCTCGTCCTCCCTCCTCGGCACGCCTTCCATCATGCCGCTGATATCGGCCAGGGGAGCGAGATCCCCCACCGCGTCTTTCAATCCTGCTGTGATGCCGTTGCTGCGAACCGAATCCGCCTCCCCGGCTTCCCTCGTACTACATGTGCCAGTCAGGCGAGCGTGCCTCACTTCCACGCTTCTCTCCATAATAACGCTGCTGCTCAGGCGAGCGGTCGCCGCCTCCTCGTCTCTCCTCACGGGGTTGATAGGGACCAGGTGAGCGCCGACCCCCCCCGCACCTCCAATCGTGATACCTCCGCGAATCCGGTGAGCGCGCTCCGCCCCAGTGCCCACCGTCTCGGTGCTGCCGCGGATCTGGCGAGCGATGGCCGCCTCCACGCTTCTCCTCCCGCATCCCCCGTGCATCTGGCGAGCGCATGCCGCCACCACGCTCCCCTTCACGGCTCCGCCGCGATTCTGGCGAGCGTCCGCCACCGCCACGTCCCACATCCCGAGTCAGCTGCGGATCTGGCGAGCGCGCGCCACCGCCACGTCCCCTCACATGATTCAGCCGTGGATCTGGCGATCGCGCACCGCCGCTGCGCCCTCCATCACGATTCAGCCGCGGATCAGGCGAGCGCATGCCGCCGCCGCGCTCTACGTCACCTCGCCGACGCGGATCTGGAGAGCGTCCGCCACTGCCACGCCCCCCGCCGTCACCTTCCTCTCCGCCGCGTGGCAGATTTCGACCGCTCTGTCCGTCCGCCTCCGCCGCGTTTGGCTTCGCCGCCACGCCCGCCTGCGCGGGATCATCGTCCTTGACTCCAGCGGGCATTTCGCGGGCATTTCGCGCTGCTCGCCTGCTCTCCTGGAACTCGTCATCGCCCTTGGTCCCGCCTTCACGATCCGACTCCTGCACCTCATTCGCCGAGTCTATCTCCTCTTCTCCATCCACATCGAGATCGCCTTGGCGACCCGAGAAGAGCTCCTCTAGACCTCGCCCGCGGCCACGATCTTCGCGACGGCGATAGCCTTCTTCCGGCGAGCGGTATGCTCCCGTGTCCTGACGGTACCCATGACCGCCTTCAGCTCCGTGGCGCCCGTCCGTCCGCCATGGGTCACTTCCCATCGTAACAGATCCGGATCCGCCTCTTCCTTCTCGAGCGGGTCTTCCCTCCTGCCGATCTGGCGCGAGAGGGACCTGATCCGCGCGAAAGGCCGGCCTCCGCGGAGAGCGCTCAGGTCGCCGCGGCGACCTTTCCAATGAACGCCCGCGCTCACGTGAGCGTTCGCGCCGTGAGCGATCCTCCTCGCGGCGTCCGTAATTCCTGCCGTAACGCAGCTCGTCGACATCCATGCTTGTACGCGCACCCTTTCTGTTTGTTATGAAAGAAACGAGACTCTCACCTCAAAGGTCCTCCCTAAGTGGTGTGCCACCCGTGTGCAATGCTTGAGGCAACAACAATCCACTATACGAAAGGATAACAAACAGAAAGCATTGTGTGTGTGTGCGAGGGTGAACTTACCTGACCCTGGCTCGAACCGTGCATTTCTCAATGTGCGGCTCGAGCCTGGGTTGGTTCGTTCCCATTGGTTGCATGGATTTCACCCCTTGGTGCTCTCCTACCAACTTCGCGTCAATTTCCCAGCCCCCACCTACCCATCCTCGAATCTGCAAACACAACATAGCTACACCATCACTACACCCCCTTATTACTGGCACCTTATATGCACAACCGTGCATATTCGGTGACAAAGCACAGAGGGGAAAAGGGAGTGAGGAAGCACAGAGGGGAGAAGGGAGTGCGAAAGCACAGAGAAGGGAGTGAGGAAGCACAGAGGGGAGAAGGGAGTGAGGAAGCACAGAGGGGAGAAGGGAGTGAGGAAGCACAGAGGGGAGAAGGGAGTGAGGAAGCACAGAGCGGAGAAGGGAGTGAGGAAGCACAGAGGGGAGAAGGGAGTGAGGAAGCACAGAGGGGAGAAGGGAGTGAGGAAGCACAGAGGGGAGAAGGGAGTGAGGAAGCACAGAGGGGAGAAGGGAGTGAGGAAGCACAGAGGGGAGAAGGGAGTGAGGAAGCACAGAGGGGAGAAGGGAGTGAGGAAGCACAGAGGGGAGAAGGGAGTGAGGAAGCACAGAGGGGAGAAGGGAGTGAGGAAGCACAAAGGGGAGAAGGGAGTGAGGAAGCACAGAGGGGAGAAGGGAGTGAGGAAGCACAGAGGGGAGAAGGGAGTGAGGACGCACAGAGGGGAGAAGGGAGTGAGGAAGCACAGAGGGGAGAAGGGAGTGAGGAAGCACAGAGGGGAGAAGGAAGTGAGGAAGCACAGAGCGGAGAAGGGAGTGAGGAAGCACAGAGGGGAGAAGGGAGTGAGGAAGCACAGAGGGGAGAAGGGAGTGAGGAAGCACAGAGGGGAGAAGGGAGTGAGGAAGCACAGAGGGGAGAAGGGAGTGAGGAAGCACAGAGGGGAGAAGGGAGTGAGGAAGCACAGAGGGGAGAAGGGAGTGAGGAAGCACAAAGGGGAGAAGGGAGTGAGGAAGCACAAAGGGGAGAAGGGAGTGAGGAAGCACAGAGGGGAGAAGGGAGTGAGGACGCACAGAGGGGAGAAGGGAGTGAGGAAGCACAGAGGGGAGAAGGGAGTGAGGAAGCACAGAGGGGAGAAGGAAGTGAGGAAGCACAGAGCGGAGAAGGGAGTGAGGAAGCACAGAGAGGAGAAGGGAGTGAGGAAGCACAGAGGGGAGAAGGGAGTGAGGAAGCACAGAGGGGAGAAGGGAGTGAGGAAGCACAGAGGGGAGAAGGGAGTGAGGAAGCACAGAGGGGAGAAGGGAGTGAGGAAGCACAGAGGGGAGAAGGGAGTGAGGAAGCCAGAGGGGAGAAGGGAGTGAGGACGCAGAGAGGGGAGAAGGGAGTGAGGAAGCACAGAGGGGAGAAGGGAGTGAGGAAGCACAGAGGGGAGAAGGAAGTGAGGAAGCACAGAGCGGAGAAGGGAGTGAGGAAGCACAGAGCGGAGAAGGGAGTGAGGAAGCACAGAGGGGAGAAGGGAGTGAGGAAGCACAGAGGGGAGAAGGGAGTGAGGAAGCACAGAGGGGAGAAGGGAGTGAGGAAGCACAGAGGGGAGAAGGGAGTGAGGAAGCACAGAGGGGAGAAGGGAGTGAGGAAGCACAGAGGGGAGAAGGGAGTGAGGAAGCACAGAGGGGAGAAGGAAGTGAGGAAGCACAGAGGGGAGAAGGGAGTGAGGAAGCACAGAGGGGAGAAGGGTGTGAGGAAGCACAGAGGGGAGAAGGAAGTGAGGAAGCACAGAGCGGAGAAGGGAGTGAGGAAGCACAGAGGGGAGAAGGGTGTGAGGAAGCACAGAGGGGAGAAGGGAGTGAGGAAGCAAAGAGGGGAGAAGGGAGTGAGGAAGCACAGAGGGGAGAAGGGTGTGAGGAAGCACACAGGGGAGAAGGGAGTGAGGAAGCACAGAGGGGAGAAGGGAGTGAGGAAGCACAGAGGGGAGAAGGGAGTGAGGAAGCACAGAGGGGAGAAGGGAGTGAGGAAGCACAGAGGGAAGAAGGGAGTGAGGAAGCACAGGGGTGCGACGGACGCCTCATGTGGGGCTGTGAACGTAGGGGCTGCAGCTCGTGAGGTGGTGATGTGACCTTGGAAGGTTGAGAGCGGTGAGGAGAGTAGGAGTGGAAGAGTGGAAGGATGGGGAGGGAAGGGGGGTGAGAAGGAGGATCTCTTAGTAATGAAAGCACTCGGGCAGTTTGAGAGGGGCAGTGAGGGGCAGTGAGGGGCAGTGAGGGGATGGAAGAGAGGAGGGATGGGGAGGAGTGAACAGCGTGGCAGTGGGCGTGTCAATAAACGCCTTTGGGAGGCGGAACGAGGATAATGTGTGAAGTTGGAGAGAGAAGATGAGGAAGGGATGTAGGGAGAGGAGAGGAAGGGATGTAGGGAGAGGAGAGGAAGGGATGTAGGGAGAGGAGAGGAAGGGATGTAGGGAGAGGAGAGGAAGGGATGTAGGGAGAGGAGAGGAAGGGATGTAGGGAGAGGAGAGGAAGGGATGTAGGGAGAGGAGAGGAAGGGATGTAGGGAGAGGAGAGGAAGGGATGTAGGGAGAGGAGAGGAAGGGGTCGAGCGGGAGAGAATGGTGAGCGAAAGGTTGGCCACATCTTATAGAATCACCTCGTCTAGAATCACATCGTCTATAGAGACTAGAACCATTTCTTCTAGGGACCATTTCCTGTGAATCACGTACTATTGTTGGATTCTCTCAGAGTCGATACTTGGCTGCCTCAACTGCAATTACCTGAAAGGAAGTCGTCCACATACACGCCTGTGCGCGTCGCTGCCATCCCCCTCACCGCACCAGCACCGCACAGCACCGTGGCGCGCGACTGAGCCCGCGCACACCACAGCACTCTTATTCAGTCACCCTTATGCCCTTCTGTCCGCCTCCCTCCCTCTCCAACCGCACGGTGGGAGGAACTGACGACTGGGCTTTGCGGAGGGCCTGCGGCGGTGAAACTCGCCTCGCCGGTGAAATGGCTCCGAGCCGCGACAGCGAAATACAGAGTCCGCGGCGGGAAAAACTCGGCGGATCAGCCTTTCGCGCTTTTCCGTAAATTGCACCGAAACGTCCGATATGCTACCTGTTCATAGAAGGATCGAACCGCGCGTAGCTTGCCGCGTGCGCATGGCAAGTGGAGTTGGGCTGGCGAACCGAACCGTGTCCAGAAATAATCCTTCCCATACATTAGGGCGTGGAACCTTTACACGGGGGTACGGACACCAGTCGTGAATGTGGGACTGGGTTGGAAACCAGCACAACTAAAGACCAAAATGGTCGTAGGGACCCAGATTAAAAAAATGTTTTAGCTGAATAATATGAAATCCAAGCCAACCACCCGACAAAAGTCACAATTGGTACCCGGTTAAACTGCGACTGGCACCCGATTGTCGCGTCCGAGTGGGATGCGCAACCAGTGGCGGTCACCAACGAACGTGGATTCCGTTAGGCCATCGGCGAAGAGTGCGGCTTTGGTAACCACCCTGAGTTGCTAAATTGTGGTGCGGTTTCCGTGAACCACTGCAAGGATTCCGCGCCCTTGCCTTGCATTGAGACACATCAACGTCCTATCTCTTTCTCCTAGATGCGCCTCGTCCTCGCCTCACGATTCCCAACCAGCCCTTAGCTGTCTCAGAACCAGGTTTGAATCGCCATCGCTGAATTCCGTCGGCAGTCATCGTCGGCGATCCGCTCGATCAACACGGCCGCCATAACCTACGATCATCCGTTTGCGCCAAATCGATCGTTGCAACCCATATCTGGCCGAATCGTCGCTCGCCGCGGCCCGTCACCCGTCGCCCATCGCTCGTCTCGCGTTCGCATTCTCAGCGCGCATCAGCGCGTGTCAGCGGGCCGCATCGTGTACGTCTACACTCGCTAGACTCGGTGGCGCTTCGAAATCCCGTGCTCTTCGTTTCTCAGCCCTTTCGCCGCGCATGTCAGCGGGCGGCACCTTTTGAGTCGACTGAAAAATCACCTCAGCGGGCGTGAGCGGGCGGCACCTTTTGAGTCGACTGAAAAATCACCTCAGCGGGCGTGAGCGGGCGGCATGGTGTACGTGGACACGTGGGACGAGTTCGCGGAGAAGGCAGAGGTGCTCTTTCGAGCCGACCCCTCCAAGGTCGGTGGCGTTTTATCGTTTTCTGCATGTAACTGGTCTACACGCAACGCAGCTTGTACTCGATACGGTATTCCTCACTGTGGGTTCACGAACGAGGAGGAGGAGGTGCTGTTTCGTTCCACCTTTTCCCCCTCCACTCGTTGTGCCCTTCGCCCCTCATCCGTTCCGCCCTTTCCCCTTCCATCCGCTCCGCCCTTCCATGTTCCTCCCATTCCGCCCTTCCATGTTCCTCCCATTCCGCCCTTCCATGTTCCTCCCATTCCGCCCTTCCATGTTCCTCCCATTCCGCCCTTCCATGTTCCTCCCATTCCGCCCTTCCATGTTCCTCCCATTCCGCCCTTCCATTTTCCTCCCATTCCGCCCTTCCATGTTCCTCCCATTCCGCCCTTCCATGTTCCTCCCATTCCGCCCTTCCATGTTCCTCCCATTCCGTCCTTCCATGTTCCTCCCATTCCGCCCTTCCATGTTCCTCCCATTCCGCCCTTCCATGTTCCTCCCATTCCGCCCTTCCATGTTCCTCCCATTCCGCCCTTCCATGTTTCTCCCATTCCGCCCTTCCATGTTCCTCCCATTCCGCCCTTCCATGTTCCTCCCATTCCGCCCTTCCATGTTCCTCCCATTCCGCCTTCCATTTTCCTCCCATTCCGCCTTCCATGTTCCTCCCATTCCGCCCTTCCATGTTCCTCCCATTCCGCCCTTCCATGTTCCTCCCATTCCGCCCTTCCATGTTCCTCCCATTCCGCCTTCCATTTTCCTCCCATTCCGCCTTCCATGTTCCTCCCATTCCGCCCTTCCATGTTCCTCCCATTCCGCCTTCCATGTTCCTCCCATTCCGCCCTTCCATGTTCCTCCCATTCCGCCCTTCCATTTCCTCCCATTCCGCCCTTCCATTTTCCTCCCATTCCGCCTTCCATGTTCCTCCCATTCCGCCCTTCCATGTTCCTCCCATTCCGCCCTTCCACGTTCCTCCCATTCCGCCCTTCCATGTTCCTCCCATTCCGCCCTTCCATGTTCCTCCCATTCCGCCCTTCCATGTTCCTCCCATTCCGCCCTTCCATGTTCCTCCCATTCCGCCCTTCCATGTTCCTCCCATTCCGCCCTTCCATGTTCCTCCCATTCCGCCTTCCATGTTCCTCCCATTCCGCCTTCCATGTTCCTCCCATTCCGCCCTTCCATGTTCCTCCCATTCCGCCCTTCCATGTTCCTCCCATTCCGCCTTCCATGTTCCTCCCATTCCGCCCTTCCATGTTCCTCCCATTCCGCCCTTCCATGTTCCTCCCATTCCGCCCTTCCATGTTCCTCCCATTCCGCCCTTCCATGTTCCTCCCATTCCGCCCTTCCATGTTCCTCCCATTCCGCCCTTCCATGTTCCTCCCATTCCGCCCTTCCATGTTCCTCCCATTCCGCCCTTCCATGTTCCTCCCATTCCGCCCTTCCATGTTCCTCCCATTCCGCCTTCCATTTCCTCCCATTCCGCCTTCCATGTTCCTCCCATTCCGCCCTTCCATGTTCCTCCCATTCCGCCCTTCCATGTTCCTCCCATTCCGCCCTTCCATGTTCCTCCCATTCCGCCCTTCCATGTTCCTCCCATTCCGCCCTTCCATGTTCCTCCCATTCCGCCCTTCCATGTTCCTCCCATTCCGCCTTCCATGTTCCTCCCATTCCGCCCTTCCATGTTCCTCCCATTCCGCCTTCCATGTTCCTCCCATTCCGCCCTTCCATGTTCCTCCCATTCCGCCCTTCCATTTCCTCCCATTCCGCCTTCCATGTTCCTCCCATTCCGCCCTTCCATGTTCCTCCCATTCCGCCCTTCCATGTTCCTCCCATTCCGCCCTTCCACGTTCCTCCCATTCCGCCCTTCCACGTTCCTCCCATTCCGCCCTTCCACGTTCCTCCCATTCCGCCCTTCCATGTTCCTCCCATTCCGCCCTTCCATGTTCCTCCCATTCCGCCCTTCCATGTTCCTCCCATTCCGCCCTTCCATGTTCCTCCCATTCCGCCCTTCCATGTTCCTCCCATTCCGCCTTCCATGTTCCTCCCATTCCGCCCTTCCATGTTCCTCCCATTCCGCCCTTCCATGTTCCTCCCATTCCGCCCTTCCATGTTCCTCCCATTCCGCCTTTCCATGTTCCTCCCATTCCGCCCTTCCATGTTCCTCCCATTCCGCCCTTCCATGTTCCTCCCATTCCGCCTTCCATGTTCCTCCCATTCCGCCCTTCCATGTTCCTCCCATTCCGCCTTCCATGTTCCTCCCATTCCGCCCTTCCATGTTCCTCCCATTCCGCCCTTCCATTTCCTCCCATTCCGCCCTTCCATGTTCCTCCCATTCCGCCCTTCCATGTTCCTCCCATTCCGCCCTTCCATGTTCCTCCCATTCCGCCCTTCCATGTTCCTCCCATTCCGCCCTTCCATGTTCCTCCCATTCCGCCCTTCCATGTTCCTCCCATTCCGCCCTTCCATGTTCCTCCCATTCCGCCCTTCCATGTTCCTCCCATTCCGCCCTTCCATGTTCCTCCCATTCCGCCTTCCATGTTCCTCCCATTCCGCCCTTCCATGTTCCTCCCATTCTGCCCTTCCATGTTCCTCCCATTCCGCCCTTCCATGTTCCTCCCATTCCGCCCTTCCATGTTCCTCCCATTCCGCCCTTCCATGTTCCTCCCATTCCGCCCTTCCATGTTCCTCCCATTCCGCCCTTCCATGTTCCTCCCATTCCGCCCTTCCATGTTCCTCCCATTCCGCCCTTCCATGTTCCTCCCATTCCGCCCTTCCATGTTCCTCCCATTCCGCCCTTCCATGTTCCTCCCATTCCGCCCTTCCATGTTCCTCCCATTCCGCCCTTCCATGTTCCTCCCATTCCGCCCTTCCATGTTCCTCCCATTCCGCCTTCCATTTTCCTCCCATTCCGCCTTCCATGTTCCTCCCATTCCGCCCTTCCATGTTCCTCCCATTCCGCCCTTCCATGTTCCTCCCATTCCGCCCTTCCATGTTCCTCCCATTCCGCCCTTCCATGTTCCTCCCATTCCGCCCTTCCATGTTCCTCCCATTCCGCCCTTCCATGTTCCTCCCATTCCGCCCTCCATGTTCCTCCCATTCCGCCCTTCCATGTTCCTCCCATTCCGCCTTCCATGTTCCTCCCATTCCGCCCTTCCATGTTCCTCCCATTCCGCCCTTCCATTTTCCTCCCATTCCGCCTTCCATGTTCCTCCCATTCCGCCCTTCCATGTTCCTCCCATTCCGCCCTTCCATGTTCCTCCCATTCCGCCCTTCCATGTTTCTCCCATTCCGCCCTTCCATGTTCCTCCCATTCCGCCCTTCCATGTTCCTCCCATTCCGCCCTTCCATGTTCCTCCCATTCCGCCCTTCCATGTTCCTCCCATTCCGCCCTTCCATGTTCCTCCCATTCCGCCCTTCCATGTTCCTCCCATTCCGCCCTTCCATGTTCCTCCCATTCCGCCTTCCATTTCCTCCCATTCCGCCTTCCATGTTCCTCCCATTCCGCCCTTCCATGTTCCTCCCATTCCGCCCTTCCATGTTCCTCCCATTCCGCCCTTCCATGTTCCTCCCATTCCGCCCTTCCATGTTCCTCCCATTCCGCCTTCCATGTTCCTCCCATTCCGCCCTTCCATGTTCCTCCCATTCCGCCCTTCCATGTTCCTCCCATTCCGCCCTTCCATGTTCCTCCCATTCCGCCCTTCCATGTTCCTCCCATTCCGCCCTTCCATGTTCCTCCCATTCCGCCCTTCCATGTTCCTCCCATTCCGCCCTTCCATGTTCCTCCCGTTCCGCCCTTCCATGTTCCTCCCGTTCCGCCCTTCCATGCTCCTCCCGTTCCGCCCTTCCATGCACCTCCCATTCCGCCCTTCCATGCTCCTCCCATTCCGCCCTTCCATGTTCCTCCCATTCCGCCCTTCCATGTTCCTCCCATTCCGCCCTTCCATGTTCCTCCCATTCCGCCCTTCCATGTTCCTCCCATTCCGCCCTTCCATGTTCCTCCCATTCCGCCCTTCCATGTTCCTCCCATTCCGCCCTTCCATGTTCCTCCCATTCCGCCCTTCCATGTTCCTCCCATTCCGCCCTTCCATGTTCCTCCCATTCCGCCCTTCCATGTTCCTCCCATTCCGCCCTTCCATGTTCCTCCCATTCCGCCCTTCCATGTTCCTCCCATTCCGCCCTTCCATGCTCCTCCCATTCCGCCCTTCCATGTTCCTCCCATTCCGCCCTTCCATGTTCCTCCCATTCCGCCCTTCCATGTTCCTCCCATTCCGCCCTTCCATGTTCCTCCCATTCCGCCCTTCCATGTTCCTCCCATTCCGCCCTTCCATGTTCCTCCCATTCCGCCCTTCCATGTTCCTCCCATTCCGCCCTTCCATGTTCCTCCCATTCCGCCCTTCCATGTTCCTCCCATTCCGCCCTTCCATGTTCCTCCCATTCCGCCCTTCCATGTTCCTCCCATTCCGCCCTTCCATGTTCCTCCCATTCCGCCCTTCCATGTTCCTCCCATTCCGCCCTTCCATGTTCCTCCCATTCCGCCCTTCCATGTTCCTCCCATTCCGCCCTTCCATGTTCCTCCCATTCCGCCCTTCCATGCTCCTCCCATTCCGCCCTTCCATGTTCCTCCCATTCCGCCCTTCCATGTTCCTCCCATTCCGCCCTTCCATGCTCCTCCCATTCCGCCCTTCCATGTTCCTCCCATTCCGCCCTTCCATGTTCCTCCCATTCCGCCCTTCCATGTTCCTCCCATTCCGCCCTTCCATGTTCCTCCCATTCCGCCCTTCCATGTTCCTCCCATTCCGCCCTTCCATGTTCCTCCCATTCCGCCCTTCCATGTTCCTCCCATTCCGCCCTTCCATGTTCCTCCCATTCCGCCCTTCCATGTTCCTCCCATTCCGCCCTTCCATGTTCCTCCCATTCCGCCCTTCCATGCTCCTCCCATTCCGCCCTTCCATGCTCCTCCCATTCCGCCCTTCCATGTTCCTCCCATTCCGCCCTTCCATGCTCCTCCCATTCCGCCCTTCCATGCTCCTCCCATTCCGCCCTTCCATGTTCCTCCCATTCCGCCCTTCCATGTTCCTCCCATTCCGCCCTTCCATGTTCCTCCCATTCCGCCCTTCCATGTTCCTCCCATTCCGCCCTTCCATGCTCCTCCCATTCCGCCCTTCCATGTTCCTCCCATTCCGCCCTTCCATGTTCCTCCCATTCCGCCCTTCCATGTTCCTCCCATCATGTTCCTCCCATTCCGCCCTTCCATGTTCCTCCCATTCCGCCCTTCCATGTTCCTCCCATTCCGCCCTTCCATGTTCCTCCCATTCCGCCCTTCCATGTTCCTCCCATTCCGCCCTTCCATGTTCCTCCCATTCCGCCCTTCCATGTTCCTCCCATTCCGCCCTTCCATGTTCCTCCCATTCCGCCCTTCCATGTTCCTCCCATTCCGCCCTTCCATGTTCCTCCCATTCCGCCCTTCCATGTTCCTCCCGTTCCGCCCTTCCATGTTCCTCCCGTTCCGCCCTTCCATGCTCCTCCCGTTCCGCCCTTCCATGCACCTCCCATTCCGCCCTTCCATGCTCCTCCCATTCCGCCCTTCCATGTTCCTCCCATTCCGCCCTTCCATGTTCCTCCCATTCCGCCCTTCCATGTTCCTCCCATTCCGCCCTTCCATGTTCCTCCCATTCCGCCCTTCCATGCTCCTCCCATTCCGCCCTTCCATGTTCCTCCCATTCCGCCCTTCCATGTTCCTCCCATTCCGCCCTTCCATGCTCCTCCCATTCCGCCCTTCCATGTTCCTCCCATTCCGCCCTTCCATGTTCCTCCCATTCCGCCCTTCCATGTTCCTCCCATTCCGCCCTTCCATGTTCCTCCCATTCCGCCCTTCCATGCTCCTCCCATTCCGCCCTTCCATGTTCCTCCCATTCCGCCCTTCCATGTTCCTCCCATTCCGCCCTTCCATGTTCCTCCCATTCCGCCCTTCCATGTTCCTCCCATTCCGCCCTTCCATGTTCCTCCCATTCCGCCCTTCCATGTTCCTCCCATTCCGCCCTTCCGTGTTCCTCCCATTCCACCCTTCCATGTTCCTCCCATTCCGCCCTTCCATGTTCCTCCCATTCCGCCCTTCCATGTTCCTCCCATTCCGCCCTTCCATGTTCCTCCCATTCCACCCTTCCATGTTCCTCCCATTCCGCCCTTCCATGTTCCTCCCATTCCGCCCTTCCATGTTCCTCCCATTCCGCCCTTCCATGTTCTCTCTCTCTCCCACCTTCTCTTCCCCTCCCTCCCCGCCTCCCTTTCATCCCCCTTTCCTTTCCCTGCACCCTTCTGAACCGCACTGTTCTCCCCCAACTTTAACTGCCCCCTTTTCACTTCCCTGACCTTTTCTCACATGCACAACCATACAGGCACTAGCACTAGCACCCCCGCCCCCCCGCCCCCCCTCGCCCTTCCCCCCTCCTCCCCCCCACACATACACTGCTTTTCTGTGTGTCTATACTCTTAGACTCGTTCGTTCACCCCACACGCCCCCTGCCCCGGCCCCTGCCCCCAACCCCTGTAGTTCCGCTGTGTGAGCAATTACTGTACCGCCACGCCACGGCAATGGCAAATTGGTGCCCAAGGGCACAAGTGAATGACCGTGCATGTCAGTCACTTTCACTCTCCTTCCTTCTCCCATACACCCCCCTGCCTCTGTTCCCGCACCGACCCCTAACCCGCCCCTGCAGTTCCGCTATGTGGGCAAGTATAGGCACTGCGGTGGCAAGTATAGGCACTGCGGTGGCAAGCTGGCTGGTCCTCAAGCCCATCAGCCACGTCGTGTGTTCTTTCACACACATTCTCCCACTCCCATACACCCCCCCTGCACTGCACTGCACCGCACCCAACCCCCCCTCCTTTGGCCCTTGCAGTTCCGCTATGTGAGCAAGTACCGCCACTGCGATGGCAAGCTGGTGCTTAAAGCCACAGACGACCGCGTGGTGAGTCAGTAAGGGCGAGAGGGAGGTGGGTCAGAGTGATGGTGAGGTGTGGTTAGGGCTTTGCCTGTGACGTGAGGGCGTGTCTTGCCACGCCCGCCACTACAATGGCAAGCTGGTGCTCAAGGCAAGGCCACAGACGACCTTGTGGTGAGTGGTGGTGTGGGTGGGTGGGTGATGGTGGCGGGATGAGAGGGAGGTGGGTCCGAGTCACTGTGAGGTATGGATGGGGTTTCCCTGTACCGCTGTGATGGCAAGCTGGTGCTTAAAGCCACAGACGATCGCGTGGTGAGTGGTGGCAGGGCGAGAGAGAGGCGGGTGAGTCCGAGTTTGTGAGTAGACGGTTTAAGGTGTTCTCTGCTCTGTTCCACGCTCTGCCCCTATTCCCTGCTTCCCTTTTCCCTGCTCCCCTTCTCCCTGCTCCCGCTTCCCTGCTCCCCCATTCCCTGCTTCCCCCCCTTCCCTGCTCCCCCCTTCCTTCTTCCCCTATTCCCTGCTCCCCCTTCCCTGCTCCCCCTTCCCTGCTCCCCCCTTCCCTGCTCCCCCCTTCCCTGCTCCCCCTTCCCTGCTCCCCCTTCCCTGCTCCCCCTTCCCTGCTCCCCCCTTCCCTGCTCCCCCCTTCCCTGCTCCCCCCTTCCCTGCTCCCCCCTTCCCTGCTCCCCCTTCCCTGCTCCCCCCTTCCCTGCTCCCCCCTTCCCTGCTCCCCCCTTCCCTGCTCCCCCCTTCCCTGCTCCCCCCTTCCCTGCTCCCCCCTTCCCTGCTCCCCCCTTCCCTGCTCCCCCCTTCCCTGCTCCCCCCATTCCCTGCTCCCCCCTTCCCTGCTCCCCCCTGCCCTGCTCCCCCATCCTTCACCCTCCCGTCCCTGCTGCACCCGTCCTGGGAGTTGTGTCGTTGGTCAGTTGCTAGCCACCTCAACCGGCAGTGTCTGGGTGGCAGGCAGGGTGTCAGGGGGGACACGCTTGCTGTCAACGGCTCGGGAAGGGTTCTTGTCGGAAAGGGGTCTGGTCGGAAAGGGGTCTAATTGGGAACGGCCTGGTCTTTTGTGGCATTGCAGGTCAGGGGGGGGGCGAGGGGGGATTGGTGGAGTGGTGGCGTGAGTCTGCCAAGGAAATGGAGCGCCTCAAAGCACTCCCTTCTACTGTCCACCCATTTCTCCCCCACTCTCCTCACTCCTCCTGACTCTCCTTCCCCCTCCCCCCTACCCCCCTTTCCCCCGCCCCCAGTGCATCAAGTTCCGCACGGACCAAGCTCAGGACGCCAAGAAGATGGAGCGCCTCAACAACCTGCTCTTCACGCTCATGGCCCGCGGCCCAGACGGTACGAAAGAGGCTGCACATGCACACGCGAACGCATGGTAGTGGTAACGCATAGTTCACACACAAGCACGTGCCTCCATAGTTCGACGGTAGGGTTAGACCATTGAATAGTAGCCTGCTGCACCCTTGCCATCACCCTCAGCCCCTTGCCATCACCCTCAGCCCCTCTGCTCTGTTCCAACTCATCCCAACTCATCCCAACTCTTCCCAACTCTTCCCCTTTGCTCTTACCAATCCTCTGTGTCGCCTCCATGAATGAGTTTCTCTACACTGCACCTCCTCTGGTCTATCCCTTTCTCCCTCCCCTGTGTTGTCCCTTGTTGAATATGTTGGTGGAGCCACTTCTATTGGAGATATGATAACTCCCTTACCCAACCATGTTTCTGTTTCTGCCGTTGCTAATAATCTTGCTAAGCGAAGGCGCTCATTCTCGTCAAACTTAGCGAAATTGATGTCTCAACGCCGCTGCTGATGCTCTTCCTACAGCTGTCGTTGGAGCCCCAGCAGCACGCGTTTACCATTTTTCATGGGTTACTTCTCTCATTCTTCCATGCTTGCTCCTTTTCCCCACGTTACTTTTGCTGCTGCTGTGGTTCCCAACAGCTGTGGTGGAGTTACTGTCGTTGGAGCCCCAGCAGCTGCCTTGTCTCATCCATATATCCCCCACCCTTACCTTACCTTGTTTGCGCATCTCCCCCGTGTTGTTGCTGCTGCTGTGGTTCCCAACAGCTGTGGTGGAGTCTCTGTCGTTGGAGCCCCAGCAACTGGCGGCTCAGCAGCAGCAACAGCAGCAGCAGCAGGCAAGGAGAGGCAGGGGGCGGCGGCAATGACCACATGCCCTGCCCTGACCTGGCCCACACAATGACCACACAGTATAGGGCGCATACTGCAGGCATCACACAGAGATTATTTTTGAATGGACTAATAATTCATCAGAGTTGAGAATCTCGACTCGAGATGCTGTGGAGGCGACCCACATACCGGTACCTGTGGAGGCTGTGGAGATGGAGATGCGTTTCTTATGAAGCCAGAAAGTAGAGGGCACATGTACACATAGGATTCTAACAGTAGCATATTTTTCACCACCAGGAATTGCAATTGTGGGGTCAAGTATCAGCAGTGGTCGTGTGAGGGAGGCTTTGTGTACAGGGTATCAGAAGCTCACGAGTGGTACCAGATTTCAGACTGCTAATTCGCGATAAGAAGTCAAGAGTGCACTAACCAATCCCTGCCATCCACTTCACAGAAAATGGCATGCTGCAATGAGCTCCCCAAACATCATCTATGTGGGCCAGAGCACCCTCCCATCCCCTCCTCACTCACAGTAATACCCTCCACGTGTCCTAGCAAATCGAAAGGAGCAACTTCTAAGGCAGTGGTGAGCATGTTTCTTCAGGATCTCCTAATCTACCCCCTATTGAGTTTACCCTGGTGGAGCCTCCCCTCCATGCGTCCCCATGGTCATGCTTGCCATATGCACACTCACTCACACCCTTTCCAACGTCTCGTCTTGTGCACAGCAGCAACTGCGACTCCTCCCCTTTTCTAGTTCCTCCTAACAGCACCCGTCCCCTTCCACAAATTCATCTGTCAACCACGTGTCCTGTTGGGTTGATCATCTGTCAACCACGTGTCCTGTTGGGTTGATCATCTGCCTGCCCATCAACGCCTCTTTCCCTCCCCGCTGCTACTCCCCGCCGCAGCTTACGTTGATCATTCGCCCGTCCATGCCCCCATCTCTCGCCGCTGCTTCTTCCCCTCACGCGCCATCTTGGCAAAGATCGTATGCCCTTCAACGCCCCCTTCTCTCCGCGCTGCTACTTCCCCCCGCGGGTCACGTTGCCCATCTGGCCGCGCACGGCTCCCTGGGGGAACGTGGAGGTGGCGATGAGAGCGTGGAAGGAGGCGGGGGCAGCGAGAATGCTGCTCACAGCCGCAGCCACAGAGCCGCCCGCAGCGGCGGAGAGGGACGACGCGTTGCCCCACACGCCCCTAGCGCCGTAGCTGAAGCGCGCAGCCGCAGGGGGGGGAGCAGCGGTGGCGTTGGTGGCGCGATGGACGGGGCGGGTGGTGTTGGTCCAGGCGGAGGCGGGGAAGGCGAGGAGGAGCGAGCCAGAGGGGGAGGAGGCGGGGCCTGCGTGGATGGAGGCGGCAGTGGGAGGGGAGGGCGAGGAGAGGTGCGCGAGGGAGAGCGAGTAGTGCACGTCCATGTCAGTGGCCGTCCTGGGGAGGAAGGGGAGGGTAAGGAGGAGAAGGAGTTGGTGTGAGGAGACGAGGAAGGGTCAACCCAGGAGGGCTGAGATGGAGTGTGGACTGCAGAGGAACGAGTTTGCAAGAGCACAGAGAGGAGGGCTCATAAGCAAGTGAAAGGAGAAGCAGAGCCAAGGCGGTGCAAAAGAGAAAGCGGAGAGAAAGAGCGACAAGCGGCGCTCACTTGACAAGCGTGAGCTCCAGGCGGCCCGTGGCATTGGCCATGCCTGCTGACCCCACCATCTGCTTGCCGCTCATCCGCGCACCCACCACACCTGCCACGCACGCACAAGCAAGCAAGGCGTCAAGTCCACCGGCTTACCACAGGCTGCAGCAATGAACGAACATAAGCTAGAAGTCAGCAGCTGTCGTGCAATCCTACTCACCAATCACATTGCCTCCTCGCCCGCCACGTCCGCCACCAGCACGACCGCCAGCGCCAGCAGCACCACCCCGCTGCGGCCTGCCCCGGCCGCCGTCAGTGCCGTTCACAGCAGCCCTGCGATTGCCGTTCACGGCAGCCCTGCGAGTGCTGTTCACGGCAGCCCTGCGAGTGCCGTTCACGCTGTGGGCCGCCCCGCTGCCGTCCCGCCGCCCGCCCACCCTCGTGCCATTCACGTGCCTCGTGCCATTCACGTGCCTCGTGCCATTCACGTGCCTCGTGCCATTCACGTGCCCCTTTCCTCCCGCCACGCGAGTTCCGTTGGCTGCCACGTGGCCGTCAAACGACTTGTGCTGCTTCACGCCCATCGTCGTCTCTTGCTGCCCCTGCCGCTTGCCGCCAGCCGTCTGCACTGCCGGCTGCTGCGACTCGGAGCGGGCGGGTTTCTTTCCGGACGCCGATCCAGTGGCACCCGAGATGCCCGCCCGCTTATTGGCGGTAGCAGCCTTGTCCCTCGCTTCGCCTGCCGTCGCCTGCGAGCGGGTCTTGCTGGCGGCTTCTGCGAGGACTGAAGGGAAGGGAAGGCGGTGAGGGAGGATGACGGAACAGGACGGACATATGAGCCCCGGTCAATTATTTCGAATCGTCAAAATGATACTGCTCATTTCTCCAAAAACCAAAATGAATGACACATAGGGGGTGACGAGACGACATGCACGAGAGACTGGGGTGAGGAGTGAATGGAATGGAACCGACGGGCCGTGGCGACTCACTGGCCGTGGCGACGAGCGCAAGTAGCGCGAGAAGCAGGAAGCGCCGCGTGGAAGCCATGATACCGTGAAGTCGGTGAAGCGAAAGCTGGACGGTGAGAGCGGAGCACTACAAACAAGAGCGTCTCAGGTGCTGATCTAACCGAAGTCGAATTGTCGGCAAAGAATTTTTGAGAGCGTCGAAGCACGGTCCAGAGAGAGAGCAGTAAGGATTGTCACTAGCCAGTTCGAGTGGATGATGAGAGGATCCATCGCGCCTCTGCTTTTATAGAGTGGGCGAACGAGGTTTCGCGACGAATCGCCTCGCCAGCGATCAATTTCGAGACATTCCGAATCGCGAATGTGAAATGCGGTACGGAAGGCACCGACACATGAGGAGCATAATTCACTAGTAACACAGCTATCTCCCCCTGAAAATTTTTGGCGGGAAGCGAGAGCTGTGTTGGATGAGGCAGTGCAAGGTTGACCAGTCCAAGGAGGTGTGTCTTGGGGAGCACGTACGCCGTAAGGGAAGAGTAGGTTTCACGATAAAAACTACCGGTAGAAAACGGGATCATTCACACGTTAGAAAACCAAAATAAGCAATCTCGATGGGCAGCCTAGCTCTCTACTCACTGGCCTTGAAGATTGCTAACAGATCAGATAACACCCGACATGGCGAGCTCCCCCTGGAATTTTATGGCGGGAAGAGAGGTGTGCTCTGGATGAGGGAATTCGAGCCGCACTGGATTAGGGAACACAGGCTTGACTGGTCCAAGCAGGTGTGTCTTGGGACAGACGTACGCCGTACGGGAAGGATTCGTTACAGATATGGCTTTTAGGATATATCGCAATAGTAATAATGTACACTTTCCAAATTGTGAAACAGACTTCAATATTAACAGAATACTATTCATAAACGTTGCTGAATCCTTTCGTGTCTTTGATGCGTCAGAATCAATAAACAAAATAGTATTTGTACTTTTGTGTATATAACTTTTGCTATGATAGTATCTGGATCAAAGAATGTTATAATTATGCTTACAAATGAAAAAAAAAACAAAACACACACACACACACACACACACACACACACACACACACACACACACACACACACACACACACACACACACACACAACGGCTTCTGTTATCAGCAGGTTTGTTACGATATGAAATTTAATGAGGAGGCATTCCTATATGCTACGGAACAACTCTACCGAGTACGAAGTCGAGGCGTCAGAAGAGTCGAAGCGACGCTAGCAACCGTCAGATCAAGATCGATGCAGATAGTTAATATTTGGAATAGAAAAGAGCGGGAACAGGTTTTAAACAGGTTCCTGCGCCGCACGGTTTGAACTCGGCTGCAATAAGGGAATGTACCCCTTAGAGTACATGGCTAGTCTAGGACTCTTCGTATTCCCTATATTTCCTATATCAACACAATGTATGCATGCTATTATCATCTCAGTCATTTTACATTCACTCTGACCTGAGGTCAACACTTCCGCTGCAACAATATCTGCGAACAACCCAGAGCCGATCCCTGGCTAAGTCATGTTTAGGATTGTAACATGGTATGAGAGCTACTCATGGATTCTAGCAATGTCACTTCCGTGAAATTCGCCGAACCTAGATCTGGCGAGCGGCACACTCTCCA